AGCTCGTGCAAACTTCGTAATGTAGGGCCTTAATGATTAGAATAGGGTTTTGAGGTATATATTACTATAATTCTAGCCAGAAACCCCCCAAAATAGTGTTGGTAATTATTAAGGCCCCTACACTAGTAGTTGGCTGGATGGGCATGGTAACGGATTTCGCTAAGATCCAGAACTACTTTCGGCGTCGGTTTGCCGAAACCCTTCTCCTGTGGTCATGCACTCAATCATGCGATCGCTGAACTCAGTTTAGGGTTTAGGGTTTAGGGTTTAGGGTTTAGGGTTTAGGGTTTAGGGCCTGGACTACTTTCAACAGATCCTGTCCCGGAATGTGTTTCTGATAAAATTATCTCTCTGCGTGTGCTCCTGTTGGAGATCGACCCCTCAACCCTAAACCCTAAACCCTTAAACCCGCTGTAAACCCTAAGCCCTCAAAATCAGACGGCTGGTTCTCACAGAATGATGGATTGGTCTGCCTGCAGTGGCGCTGACCTTAACCCTAAACCCAAAGTCCCAATGCCTAAAGCAGCCATTACCAAGAAACCGGTTCCTTCTCTCATAGGGGGTTCGGCAGTCGAAGGGTCCGCGTAATGTAGGAGCCGTAATAATTAGAATAGGGTTTTGGGGTACATTAATTATACTACAATTATCATAAAAGCCCAAAATAGTATAGCCAATTATTAAGGCCCCTATGTTATAGGGTTGAGGGCTTGGGGTTGAGGGCTTAGTCTTAGGATGGTGCTGCTTCCTAAGGTCTCTCCTTTTCTGAAAACCCGCCCGAAACCCAAACCTTTAAACCCTAAACCTGCAAAACCCGATGAACCCCAAAACACTAAACCCCAAACCCAAAAGCCTTAAAGCCCTAAAACCCCAAAACACTCAACCCTAAACTCCTAAACACCTAAACCCTAAACCCCCCAAAAACCTAAACACTAAACACTTCATTATTCCCAAACTCCCGTCGTCCGAGCCAACAGAAAGAGAAAGTTGGATTCTGTTCGTGCTCCCCGCCTCGGAGCACCGGTTGTGAAGGCACCTTTTGGGGGGTTAGGGGTTTGGGGTTTAGGGTTTCAGGTTTAGTGTAGGGTTTAGGGGATTGTTTTTTTCTAGGAGTTGGTGGGGGCGGGGCCGAAGGGCATGTTTTGTTCCCCGCTGTCTGAAAGCCCAACCAAGGTCCCAATGACACAAGGAAACAACAAATATTATACCGTGAGGGATCACCCGGAACCCCGCATGAGGAGGACTTTCCGCAAGACCTGCTGCCAATCTGCAGGCGCAACCATTCCACAACAAGCAGCGAGGAAGCTTCGCTGTTATCTTGGTGATCTAGGGATATTGGGGCAGCCTGGGGATTCCAAACGAGCCTTGACATGTAAAGCCCGGCCCAACCCCTAAACCCTAACTCCTAGACCCTCTACACCCTAAACCCTAAGCCTAAACCTGACACCTTCTTCTATTTATCAGTGCGCCTGTATTGATTCAATCCATTCCGCCGAGGTCTGGACTTTGTCTCGGCGTGAACTGTAGACTCGTCCGAGAAGACCTCCAGTCCACGGTTTTTCCCAGTGCTCTTTAGGGTTTTTGAGTTTAGGGTTTAGGGTTTAGGGTTTAGAGGTTTAGGGTTTAGGGGTTTAGGGTGTAGGGTTTAGGAGTTTAGGGGCTTAGGGTTTAGGGTTTAGGAGTTTAGGGGTTTAGGGTTTAGGGTTTAGGGGTCTTGTCCTCAAGTAGGGCTTGGGGGTTTGTGTAGGGTGTGTTAGGATCTCGTGTTTGGGGATGAGGCATGACTTCTAGGAAGTTTCGGCCAGTCGGTTCTGGACTCCTCACGTAGCCAACCCCATAGTCCTGCTTTAAACTTCAAAAGGTCCCGTTTAAGAGAGCCAGAAGCAGGACTCAGAAGGGTGCCCTTTAAGGTGTCTCCCTGATACTACCTATTTGGGGGTTTCCGAAAATTGGGGACCCTGATATAGTACCCTAAATAATAGGATCCTTATTATAAGGACCCCAAAATAAGGTACCCCCTATTTTCGGAAAGTCCCATTTTGAAGCCTTGCAAAGCCCAGATGGAAGCGTGTCTTCCCACGAGGCCTTGGTGAGAGGAGCGGAGGCGCGACCTGTCGGGGACTTCTCTTAACAAAATGCATTGAATCTTACAGGCTCAATTACAATGTAGCATTTACATATATACATGTGTATATATATATATATACACACGTATCTACATATACACATATGCACATATCATACGTGTGTATATATATATATATATATATATCATACTTTCATATCAGGCCCCGTAGCTTACGGGGTATTTGGTCCGGAAGCGCTGGGGCATCCTAAGGGTTTCTGACTTGGGGATTTCAGCAGCGGCCTTAAGAAATCGAGCCAGGGCTTCATTAGGGTTTAGGTTTTAGGGCTCTTTTATGTGCAATGGCCCCTTTTCTGTGCGGCAGTCGTTAGGGTTCAGGGTTTAGGGTTTACAATGCTCATTGGTCTTAGCCCTAAACCCAAAACCCTAAGGGTCCAAAGGACCCAATAATAGGGCTAGGCCCTAAACCCTTAGGCCCCAAGGGTGCAAAGGACCCAAGAATAGGGCACTTTGGTTGCGGATAGTAGTTAGCTAGGTTAATATTTGGGAGGGTATATGACTATTAGGTACTTGGACCCTTAGGGTAAATCCCTAAATCCTAAACCCCTAAACCAAAAAGCTGTAGTTCTCGCAAATGAATGGGCTCCTAGAAAGAGACCCTGGTGTAGAACAGCCCAGGGGCTTTTGGTAGGGACCTTTAGGGATAGTCTTGGGGTTTAGGGGCTGAGGGGTCAGGGTTTAGGGGTTTGGGGGTGTGGGGCTTAGGGGTTTAGGGGCTTAGGGTTTAGGGTTTCCAGTATCCTGTGGGTATCCGTGACACTCGGAGGTTTGAGGGTATTGGCGTCTCTTGAGGCTTCAGGGTCTAAGGATGAACCCTAAACCCCAAACCC